AAAGGAACTACACAGGAACCTCTAGGAAGTTATAAGAACCCAGAAAGTTTAAAGGTTGGGTATTGGGCACTATGAAAAGCAGCCAACCTCCCGATACCCCGGCCCTGCAGCATAAACCCCACGCCCCAAGCCCTCCCAGCCCTAAGCCCCCCCAAACCCCCAACCCTAAACCTCAAGCAACACCTGCTAAATTAGAAACCCTGAGCCCTAAACCTGAAACAACACCTAAACCCTAAACCCTATTCGGAGACCCGTCGCATGGAACTGCCCGTCGAAGACGATGTCATCGATGTCCACCTCCACTGAGATGCCTCAAGTTAAGGACCCTCAGTCAGGGTTTACTTTTTTAGGGTTTTAGGGGTTAGGATTTAGGGTTTAGGGTCTAGGGTGTTTGGAATTTCCGGCAACACGGCAACACTGGGATTCCTGGACCCTGCCATGCTACGCCCGACATATACCCTCAAGCCTGAAGCTACCTACGAAATAGGTGCGGGAGTCAGAGGAAGCGCTTTCTGATCCATAATACTCCAAATATTCAAGGACTACCCGCTTTGGGGTCTATCGTCTTATAGCACCTCCTCGGGGCTAGGTTTCTGATTGGCGCCCAAGTACAATGAGCATCGATGAAGCCACAGAACAGACATGCCATGTCTTGGAAGGTCTGATTGATTTGCTTGCCCTTCTGTATCAGCAGATGGTAAACAGAGCAAAAGGATTTAGGGTTAAGGGTGTATCACAATCAAACTACTGATAAAGATGGTGATGTGAGCGCCCGGACCACTCAACATGCTAAACCCTAAACCCGTTCAGTCTTCGTGGATCTTGAAGACACATTGGAGTTGTAGGGGGTCGAAGATAGGTAAGGCCACAAGCCCAAACCCCACCGAACTTACCCTTGAGGTTGATGTGAGTAATGTCGCGTACTCTATAGCATAAGCTTTGACACTGAAGGACATGTATCGGAACCCCCTCCAGGCCCTCGTATAGAGTGCATACCTTGATCTCAACATGCCGCGATATCTTCACCTGTTGCAGGTGATGCCAATGGCTTCCGAAGAGGATGCCCCCGAGTTTCGGCGAGCCTCGGTAAGTTTTCTTGGTCGATGCAAAGTGAAGCTCGGCTGCTCTCTCAGCGCAGCGGGAAGCTCTGATGGAAGCTCTCGGTGCACCGTGCCTTGCCAACAGAAAGCGAAGTGCGCGAGCATTTGGAGTGCAGTCTTCACGGTGGCGAGGGGCAGATAATAGGGTTTTGGGTTTAGGGTTTAGGGTTTAGGGAATGGTTCTGCCATGCCTTTCCATGCAGCAGTTTGGTGCTGTGCAGGTTGAGCAGGAGCAGGTAGTACCCCAGCAAGCCATGGTACAAGCGGGACTCAGGCGACAGTCTGTCGCCTCCCTAGGTGACAACAGGGAGGAGGCTGCCCATGAAGCACACCAGGTGAGTTACATGGACCCTCACGGTCGCATCGCAGGTCCAAACTCCTATGTGCGTGAACGGACATAAAAAGCCAAGCTGGGACGAAACACTTGGGGGGTAAGGTCGCGAGCCAAGCCATATGTGGGGTTCCGAAAATAGGGCACCCTAATATAGCACCTAAAATATTAGGATCCTGATTACAAGGACCCCAAAATAAGATACCCTTCATTTTCGATAACTCCCATGTCGCTGTTTTCTGACTTGTCCGGTTTCTCTTATGCGAACCAAAAGTTGACTTTTGAGACCATAATACCAAGAATGCTACTACCACCCCAAAACCCTTACCCTTAAACGACTCGGATATTAAGGCTTTTGGGCCCAAAGACCCAATCATAAAAGGCTCCTGGGCTATTTTGATGCTAAGGGAAACCTGTGGGGGTTTCCGAAAATAGGGGACCCTAATATAGTACCCTAAAGAGTAGGATCCTTATTATAAGGACCCCAAAATAAGGATTCCTAATTTTCGGAAACTCCCATATAACAGTTACCTACTCGACTATCAAGCCTTCGCAGTTCACTGCTATTGCTTGACGCTTTGGGTGGCCAGACTTAGGCTGCGGAAAGGATCAATGCAAAACGTAGGGGCCTGAGAAGTTAGAGTAAGGCTTTGGGGCCCAGTATACTATAGTTATAATAAGGAAGTAGGGTTTTGGTGCCCAATAAACTATCATTATCATAAGGAACACACCAAAATAGTACAGGGTAATTATCTAGGCCCCTATATTAGTTGCCTTAGGAACACCCCAAAATAGTACAGGTAAGTATCCCCAGAGAGCCCAATACCCCTTAATTAAGGAATGTAGCTTAATCATAATATTAAGGCCCCTATAATTCAAGGTATACTCCTTGATTAAGGGGTATTGGGCTCTCTGGGTCTAGGCCCCTATATTAGATGCCTGGGCACCGGGAACCTCGGTCTGGGAACTCAAAAAAATCTCCAAACGCTGAATGACGGGGTGTCAACCCAGAGACTCCAATACTCCTTAATTAAGGAATATTCCTTAAATTATAGTAGGATCCTTAATATGATTTAAGGTATATTCCCTATTAAGGGATATTGGGGTCTCTGGGAATAATTGGACTAGGGATTGGGGGTTGTTATATAATAGGTATAAGAGAATATCACAAAGAACCCTAGGCCCTAGGAGAAATATTGGCAATGCTTCTACATGAAACAACTCGATGCAGACTTAATCTTCGACAGCTAGACTGCCATATCAAACATTCCAATAGGAACAGCGATAGGTGGTGGCAATGGAGGTGGTAGCAGTTGTAGTAGTCAGTCGTTGTCGTCGTTGTCGTTGTCGTGTGGTGGTAGCGGTGGTGGTGGTGGCGGCGGCGGTGGTGGTAGCAGCAGCTACAGTAGCAGTAGTAGTCGTTGTCGGCGTCGTCGTCGTAGTAGCAGCAGCAGCAGCAGCAAGTAGTAGTCGTCGTCGTCTTCCTCCAACATCAGGCCGGCTGCTGATGTTCTCCTTCTTTTTCGCTTCTTCCTGAAAGGCTCTGATCTTTGTGAAAGTTTGATTTGGGGCAACTCACTCAGGGTTTACTTGAAGAACAAATAGTTGGCAATTGTGAAAACAAATGCCTCTCCTTACACCCTGAAATAAGCTTTGTTTTTTCTTTTCGTGGGCTGCACGTACTGAGTGGGCTAAGGTTTTGGCCGTAGGGGTGTGCCATAATAACAGGACTACGGCTTCCATGTTTTCAATGTTTGCGGGGTCAAGCCGGAACTAGCGCCACAAGCCCTATCCACGTTGCAATTTATATAAAGCTGTCAGGGCCCTTGAACAAATACCCGTACAGATAGAAGGGAAACTACAAACCACGCGGAATTGCCACAGGGCTCATGCAGTATCCCACTTCGTCGTGGAAGCACCGAGACTTGGGTCAAAGGCCTTGAAAACCTGGTGGTTCCTGAACCTAGTGCAGTTAGGGGGAACAAGTTACCCTTACCCTCAAAGGACTCATATGGTTAAGGCTTTTGGGCAATTTTGATGCTAAGGGTTAGCCGAGTTCATGAACCTGAACCGTTGAAACTCTGAGTTCCATAGGGGCTGATATTATCCCCGAAAGTGTGAAGTATAATCATTCAGCTACGAAGACATAACTTTAACATGGTCAAAGGTCAACCTCAGACAAGCCGTTCGCGGCTCGCTTTACTGACTTAACAGTCCTTCAGCCCTAAACCCTAAACCCCAAACCCTAAACCCGAAAAGACACGACAAGGCCATGAAGCCCGAAACTCCAAACCGTGAATGCTACGCACCTTTGGGAGTGGCAAAGCCGTGGAGTTCATCCCCCCAAGAAGACGAACAACATGTGGATCTCTCCATTACGGGGTTTAGGGTTTAGGGGTTTAGGGTTTAGGGGTTTAGGGGTTTAGGGTTTAGAGTACCAGAGGCACCGGAGGTGTGCCCTAATAAAAACCGCTCCGCCACTGTCCCTAAACCCTCACCCTACACACTACCACCCCTAAGCACTAAACCCTCTACGTCCTAGTTGTACAAGACCGAACCCAACACCCTAAACCCTAAACCCTAAACCCTAAACCCTAAACACCCTAAACGAAAGCCTAAACTGAATCCCAATACTTTCCTCTCTTCTTCAACAACCAGGCCCAAAAAAGTTCAAACTTTTTAGGGTAGACCTAATACATAAGGCCAAGAAGTTTAAAGTTCTCCTATTGGCTATCTAAGTTTCAGACACCCTAAAGCCTACACCCTGAAACGAAGCCCAGCCACCAGGAGAAGGCCCACGAAGGCGTGCCGTGGAATCCAGTACGACTTGCGAGAGGAATCCTTCCAGTGAGCCCTAAGCCCTAAACCCGAAGGCCTGAACCCTA